AATTCCAAACTTCAGTCATTTATGGCAATGCGGTAGGAAGAGACTGAACATACAGTCTGTCACAGAGATTGTCCGAGTCAGCTGCTATACTTACTACAGTTCCTCAGGCTGCTGTCTGAGTTGCACAGAGAGCTACCAGCACATGAATCGAGGCAGGAACTGTCGAGGCACCCTTGATCTCCTTCTGGACATGGCGTCTGACCTGTGGAAGGGAGAAAACCTAGTAGCTTTCATCACCTCCATCTGAGGGACTAAGAATGTCTCCTAGAGCTGAAGGGTGACACAACTTTAATTTCCTTCCAGTCTCCCCCCAAATATTGAACACATATGGAATAGGTATGTTCTGGGTTCATCATCCCACCAGCTAAACACAGCCCAGCATCCAAAGGAATTCTGTAGAAATGAACAAAAGAGAGGCAAAACCAAACTAAAGAAAGCAACTTCTAATGGGGAAAAGCATATGCTGTTTTTACAAAGGTGCGGATACTTCACAAAATAAAATGAAAACGGTGTGAGGGCAAGCCAGTAAACTAGAGATATTGATACTCTGGTTTGTAAATGATGTCTTAAACATTCCTTTGCCCCCAAATCTCCAGATTAAGGAAACACTTTCCCTGGGAATCAGCAAGGCATCAACATGAATGTCCTATTTCAAGGCTCCTTTATTATAGTGCAAGTCTTCCACACCTGCTCCCATACTTCTAGTATCCTTGGAAAGTATCATCAGCCGAGCTCTGATGACCTAAGATCAGGGCTTCTTCTCTCCAAATGAATGATGACAACAGCAGCATCTGCCCCATGGCTTTTCCTTAAGGTGTGTGGAGAGGAAACTGCTTTTGCCATTGATTTCCTGGTCATTTGTAGATTACGTGAATAATGTAATAAATTGCAACCCATTCTCTTTCCATCACTCCCATTTTATAGTCAATTACTTTCAGACATGCCATCTGGAATCCAGAATCTCTTGCAAGGCACTTGAATATAAATAGTCATACATGTATATATACAATCATGCTTATCAATAATTTTACAGCATTGTGTATTATGCTGGAATACTTCTTCCAGTCCCTCTAGTGTGAAATGCTATTGTTTATCTTGCAGAAATGATGTCACTGTTATCATTTAAAGCTATCAGGGGCAATTGTTTTTACTCAAGGCAACTTTAAGCATTTTTCATAAGTGGACTCTCCTTGAGACATTTAGGACATCATGCATTCAATAGCTCAGCTGATATCAAGTGCTTACTTTGTGGCAAGCCTATGTGACAAGCCAGGAATTGAATACTGAAAGACAAAAGGGTATGGCTCCCAAAGTCTAACACGGATGGTGTTGTTCACAACACCTCACCAGGCTGTGAAAACATGGCTATACCAGAGGCGCTTATCAAGAACAGTTGAAGCAAACTAAGTCAGAAGGTCAAAGCTGCCCAAAGAAGTGGGGTAAATTGCCGTGAGAAGGAGAGAATGGCTTTCTGAGCAGAAAAGCAACAGGAAGAAGCCTGTAAGCAAACTCACAACATGGTCTTCACTCTGTAGTCTAAACACATCTCCCACTTCCTATCTCAAGACCATTGGCCGTGTGGTCTATCGTGCTCTTCTGAGACACTCTCTTCCTGGAGGGCTCCTCTCATTCTTCAGCTTGACCCTCTAGCATATCTCCATCATAAACTTTTTCTGGGGGCTCTCTACCAAGCACACAGAGGCACAGCACCCTGAATTCTTTTCAGCCTGCACTACATAGTAGGACTGACTGACTTTAAGCCTATGGCATGGGACTGCAAGCTCCATCAACTGTTTTGTTAGACTGAATTCCCATGCTAGCCATGTAACAATAGGCAATATTTATTCAGCTTTCACTAGGCATTTGCCCCACCCAGGACTTATCATCATCTGAGCTAATGTAGAAACTGTGATCTAGAAAGGTGGATTGATTCACCTAAAGCAACCCAGATAGCATGTAGTAGCATGGGGCATGAAGCTCAGCACCAGGGATGCAATGGCATGCTCATTCCCAGTGTGTAATGCTGATATCGTAGTAACCAATATGGGGGTGGGGGGAGGTGTATTAAGTCTGGGGATATTCTGTCAGCCCCATGCTAGGAGGTTTTCAGACAAATCAGGTCTTAAAATAATCAGTGTGGGACTTGCTTTTTTTTTTTTCTTCCAGAAATGATCACGTTTAAAAGCTAACATGTTTAACTTCCACTTTCTGTTTAAGCTTCACGCATGGATATTATGTTCTTTTCTAAAAGTATATTTAAGCCTGTTGCTTAGCAATGTGAAACATTAAACTGATTCTCTGAACATGGTCAAATTAGGATGCAGTTACACTTGATTTCATGAACCAATTCCTTCTTTTGGGCATCTAATCACATTTAATTGCATGCTACACATTAAAGTTTTCTCTTTATTAGGCTTTCCCCGTAGAAGACTCAATGAAATCTGAGCATGTGGCTTCATCTCTAGCCTTAGGAAAGAGTTTCCAGCCTGTGCTGCTAAAGCATTAGTATTTACCAAGAGAAAAGGTGACCAGGAAATCTAGGATCATCTCTATGGAAATCCTGCCAAAGCAACTTCCAGATGTTCTGTTTTGTTTTCCCAAAGAAAGATCCACCAATACAAGAATGCTCTGGGGACTGGGGACACTGGGAACACACTCACTGTCACTGCAGTTCTCCTCGTCACTCCCGTCCTGACAGTCTTGGTCTCCGTCGCACTGGAAGGCACTAGGAATGCACTGTCCACTTCTGCATTCCACCAGGCCCTGGCTGTGACAAGCTAGGAGAGGCCAGAAGAATGGTAGCTTTATTTATGGATGCCCCTTACTAATCATACAAATCAGGTATCATCAACAAATGATGTGTTATGAATACACAAACGGATGAGGCAATACTTCTTTTTAAAATATAGTACTACTTATTTTTTTCTTTCCAAGAATGTCTGGAATGGAGGGTTTTCTTTCTAAATTTTCTCTTCATTATAAAGAGTGCATGTTACCAACTGAGTGCTTTCTGGAAATGATAAAAATTGCAGTTTATAAGGGGTGTGTTTCATGGGTGTGTCATGCACATCAAATTCAGATCCCTGTGAAACAGATGTTATAGCTGTTGTTTTACAAATGAGAGAACTGAAGCTGAGAGAACACAACGTCCATTTTTAAGTCACAAGGCTGCTGGGAGGTAGAGGAAGACTATAAAATCAAGCTTGTCTGACTCTAGGCCAAACCTTTCATTTCACAGCTTCCTAATCTAAGGAACTAATGAAATAATGTGTTTGAAAGAACTCCCAGAATACCTATTGCACAGTGAATACTTCATTGCCTAACATATTTATGACTGAAGCGGGTGTCTGGTTACCTCTAGCTTTCTGATTCTTGTGATTTCTCAAAATTCTCTACTTCCTGTGTTCAGAAACCCATGTGTCATGTGACCTCAGTCTTCAAAGAATGACCACCTAACATTAAAACCTGCTACATGAATCGAGGCTTCTCACCAGATGTGTTTTCTTTGGCGCCTTGCTCTCCTCAGTGCTTTACTACAGCCATTCTGTTCCACAGGCTTACAAAGCAAGGACTTCAAATTAAGTAGGCAAGAGAAAGCTAGGTAGCATGACTATGGAACTTTTTATATAGCTTCCCATATGTCAAAATAGAACTATATTATCTGCATTTCTATTTTTGCCTCAAAGCATAAGCCAAGTAAATATTTGAATTCATATACAATATCTATGGGTTCTAAGTTTACAGATTCAGCCTTAATTACAAATAATAAACATTGGGGCAAGTATATTTGTATTAAACATGTGCAGAATGTTTTCCTTATTCTTTAATCAATTAGGTGTAACAACTATATACAGAGTGTTTACATTGTATTGAGTTTTATAAGTGATCTAGGAATGATTTCAAGTACATAGGAGATGTGAATGGACTAAACACAATTACTGTGCCTTTCCATATAAAGAGCTTGAACATTCTCAGATTGTGAGGTCTACCCAGTGCCTTGTAATCAGTGCAGATACCATAGGGAAGCTGTGTGCCAAGCCTTTCTACTAAGTGAACTAAAAGGTTTAGTTGGAATATAATAGTAAGATATGTCACATTTAACCATTGCAGGTCAGTTGTACTATTTCAACAGGTAACTGCCACTATTAACTTTTTTCATTTCTGAGGGATATAGCATGTTTAACAATTCTGCTTGTTATGGATTGGTGTAAAAACAAGTTTTCATTTCTCTAGAAATACAGCCTGTTATAAAATGATAATTACTATCACACTCTCTCTGTTACTATAGGATCATAACGGGCTCCTTCTTTCTGGCACTTCTCCAATGTTCTCCCACAAATGGCCCCTGAGAACATGCTTAGAGGCTTGGTTGCTCATATATAATTTGCAGAGAAAAGGGGACTTCCTGATCTCTGAGAAGAGAGTTGCCTTTGGAAAACTCCCAGACACATGAAGGATACAGAAGCAGCAAGAGAAAAAGCAGACACTGCTGGGCCAGATCAGTCAATTTAAGCTTGGACTTTGGAGGAGAGGAGTCTGAGGTCAGAGCTATATTGATACTGTTCTCACACCTCTTGAATGCTACATTCATAGACAGAAGCTAGAGTCAGATCAACAGAACCAAAGCTTAAGCAATCATCCTCCCTGAGTGCTGTTTACATCATGATGGACTTTGGTTTCCATACAGTCTAAACAGGAGCAAAAAGAACAACAAGCAAAATGAGAACTTCTAGGGGGTAGGCACTCACAGCAGTTGACCTCGTCAGACTTGTCCACACAGTCATGGTCCCCATCACACACCCACTCAGCCAAGATGCAGCGCCCATCCCCGCAGCGATGTTCCTTTGTGGGATTGCAATCTAGAGAAAAGGAAAAGTCATGAAGACAGGAAGAAAGAGCCCGGGAAATCTTAGACTTGTGCCCACAGATCCAGTTGAAGAGAATCTACTCTCATTGTTCCTAGGATGGCTCCAGTCAAGTTGACATTACCCTTCCACCAGGGCAAGCCCCACGGTCCACATTCCTGTGGGCAAAAATTCATCTGCTTCTCAGGACAGGTGTTGCAATTGCTGGCATGTCTTGCTCCCTTTATTTGGGGGGGGGATCTATGACCTTTACAGTGAGTCAAGTGAACAGAAGTAAGCTTTGAGCTACAGGATGCAGATGGCTGATTGATGTGTAACAGGCCTGCAGTGTTCCTAAGAATTACAACATCTCCCTGCCAAGCTGGAAAGATGAGCATCTTCTTATGTCATCCCTTCTGATGCTAAGCCTAGGTTTTCTATTGGATTACCTTAATCTACAGCTCATGTTTGAAAGAACTGCTAGGCAAGAAAGGAAAACCATTATTGTTTTGTTTTAATGATGTCTTTGCATCTGGAGATGTACTCTGTCCCAATTCACACATTTCTGGAATATGGCAAGTGGGGGAGCTCACTAAGTGGCAAGTTTTCTCTCTTAAATGGAAGAATTCATAGACTGCTTTGCTCTGAGGGGTATTGTAATGTAACTATAACAGTTCTATGAATGGTAAGGTTTCACAAAGAGCAATGCAATAATGAGAAAGTTTCATGTCTGATTGTCATAGTCTCCTGAGCAACAATGGATCATAAAAGATGTCATCCAGGAGAGAATGTGGAAGGCATGGTATAGAAAAAAGAAGTAACCACAAGAGAGGATGCTTGGGCGGGAACCAGGAGATCCACTCATGCTTGGTCCACTGGAGACAGAGAGCAGAGCAGAGACTGGGCCAAGTGAGGACTATAATTTCTGCCATTTAATGAAAACATCTTGAAAGCATAGACTTTGAAACACATTGTTATCTTCAGAGGCCTTCGCTACTAACAATTCTGTTTTACTTATGTACATTACCTACTAACACACCCAGTTTTTAAACTCTACCTACTGTAGCTATTTCCCAACCTCCAAGTTGTTACTTCATTAGAAAAAGAAGGGGTGTAGATTAGATAAACTGTAAGGGTTCTTCACACTAGATTGTGTGATGGACAAGATTAAAATTGTCTCCCATTCTTTGTCCCAAATCTAGATAGTCCCACCTATATCTAATAACTAGTTATTGGATTGTACACCTAGAATTTTTAATATTTTATGGATGCAGTGAAGGGAAGTGAGACAAAACTTGTAGAAACTACCAAATTTTCTAGCTTGGGTATATTTTCTGATCATCTCCACTCTGAGACTTTCTTTGTCTCACACTCTAATCCTTTCTAGCATCCCTTTAGACCATTGCCCAACAATTGTCTTCATTCTAGCTTGCTTTTTGGTACATATTACAAATTTCCTACTGTCAATAATATATTACATGAAAACATAAAGCTAATCACAAACTATACAAATCAATAAGCAAGAATTATTTTGCTGGTCTAGATTCCAAAGACATAGTGCAGAATTAAATATGCTCCTTCAAAGGAATGTTTATGTTTTTAAATACAAGAAATCAGTATTTGCACATAAAATCAGTCTGTCATCCTAACCTTTGGTGAATACACCATTCAAGGAGTCACTAAAGTCATATGCTGTGGGGGTGGGAGCTTTGGCCACATGTTACACTTTATAACTTATCTCTCAGCAAAGTTTTGCTCAAGAGCACAAAATGCAAACATAAGCCTGCTATAGCCAGAGGATAAACAGAACACGACCCAGACAAACCTCAGCACTTTAAGAAGTCCACCATATTTGCACTCTACTTCCTTAACATTTCCTTAGTGTGACCGTTAGGTAAGAAGTAGGGTGCTGATGCAGAAGACACAACTGAAACCAGTGTTCAGACAAACTCTTCTTTCTGAAAGGGGATGGTGTGTTTTCTTTTATCTTGCAACTTTCTGGTCATATGGTGAACAGACAGATAAGTGCTCTTGGTCATAACTACTTGTGGTTTCTAATAAAATTCTTTAAGGAATCAATGCTACTTACCACAGTTTTGCTCATCACTCAGATCTCCACAGTCATCATACCCATCACATACGAGGCTGTGATTGAGACACTTGCCTGTGTGGCAGTGGAACAGATCGTCACTGCAGTCTGCAGACAAGGAAAGTTACAGGTGTATCATCAGAGCAGCACACTACGCTAGTGTCCAATTGAACAAAGGCTAGGATGGGAGGGAAACCTTGCTGTTGACCTGATCCATGCCTATTGTCTTATAGGTAAGGAGTTAAAGAAACCCAATGACTGGCAAAGTTACTGAAGAACCAGGACGAAGACACTGATTCCCAAGTCAAGTTCTCTTATCTCTTTTGGAAGTCTTTATCTGACTTTTGCTTTATGTTACTTGAGAGATCTTTGCTAATAAAAGGAGAGATAGGTCTTCTTGAGTCACCTGAGTAACTATTGTAGTCTATGTTTCTCTAGAGTAGCTGGCTTTGGTGGAAAGCATGCCATTTCTAAATATGTCTCCTTTACAGGGCAAGTCTGGGTTGGCATAAATGTAGTGGGGCAATATGCCATCTACATTGTAGTGTTGCCACTTCTTTCTGCATTGACAGCACTGCTCACACCAATGGGTGTTTCATAACACAATGCTCAAGAAAGCAAGCACTTTCCCAAGATTATGATGGCAAGATTAGAATTGGTGATACATAAAAGTTAGGAAGCTGAATATGTAATGTGATAATAAGTACATGTAGGGAAAGGATTTGTGAGTGAGTATTCTTGGAATGAAGCTATTAGACTTCAAAAATGTTGGGAAGTTAACTGCTATAAGCCCAGTCTATCTTGAGCCATGTTTACCACCGTTAATAGATACCTATTGCTGCCTTCTGCACATGACCTAGCATATTGGTGACCATTAGGTAAATATTTTGGAATGTTCAATTAGACCATTAGCTTCCACCAACCAAAAGGCTAAGAATGTTTGCTGACAGCATCTGAGGCCTACAGATGACATTTTTCAGCTTTTCTATAATCCATCTAACTGATGTTTCCACCAATGTATTTGAAGTGTCTTGACTTAGAATTTTTATTGTTCTGATACTATGGAACTTCTACCATGTTAAAATGTAGTACACGAGTAAAGCTGTATCTGTGTTCCTAGGCCAGGTCACTCATGTTTGTCTATAGAATAACCATCTCTTGTGTTTCTTTGAAGAGAAAACCATTTCCCTTGTTGACTCTTTATCAATATTAATAGGAACATAAGGTTGTCCTTGTGTAGTCTAGAACTTTTATATTGGTTCTGACATCTACAACCCATGGCAATTCTATTGTTTTCAACTCTACAAGCCTCTAAATTGGTGTAAAGATGCTCATGTCAACCTGATATTGAGATACTAGACACCAATGTGCAAATTATAAACTCTGACCTCCAGTTCAAACCATATGTAAACATTAACTCAAAATAAATGACAAATGCATGAGTAACTATCATAACACTTCTAAAAGGAAACACAAGGGGAAACTCCTTGTGACTTTAGAGTAGGCAAAGAATTCTTAGATAAGGCATCAAAAGTATAAGCTATTCAAAGATATCATTGCCAAAATGAAAAAAAACAATCAAAATTGTAGAAAAGTAGCTGTAAAGCATATTTAGGTTTTACATCCAGTGTGCACACATACAAAAATACACACACCCACACACACACTGCAATAGTGTAACAACCCTACTACAGGTAGAAAACTTGAATAAAAAGCCTATTTTGAAGATATACAACTAGCTAATAAGTACATTAAAAGTGCTCGACATTCCTAGCTGTTAAAGAAATGCAAGTCTGGACCACAAAAAAGGATTACATTATACATTCAATGTCTATAACCAGGTAAGCAAAAAAGTAAATCCAAGGAAAAATTTTGTAAAATAGAAACTCCCATGCATTGCTGGAGGGGATATAAAAGGATTCCACTATGGAAAGAGTTTGGCAGCTTCTTGTGAAGGTAACTGCAACCTTGTCACACAACTAATTCATGTTTTCTATTCTTAAGATTCTGTCTAAGAGAAATTAAACATGATTCACACAAAGACTTGTATGTGAATATTTGCAACAGCCTTACTCATCATAACCCTAAACTGGAAGAAGCCCAAACATTCACCAACTGAGGAATGAACAACAAAATATAATATATGCTTACAATGAGACACTATCCAGAGGTTGAAGAAATCAAACACCTGACATACATGACAGGATTGATTAACCTCATAATGTCATGCTTAGTGAAAGAAAACAGAATCGAAGTCTTCCTACTATATGAGCCATCTGTGAAATTACCAGAAGACAGCAGATTTCAGATTTATAAAAACAGATTTCAAAGTAGTGGTTTCCATTGTCAGGAGTAGGGATTCACAGAAGATGAGTAGGAGGGAAATTTGTAATGGATTGGAAAACTTTGATGACTTAATTTTGAAAATGGTTGCTCAAGTCTGTAAATTCACTGACGTCTAGTAGGTGAAATTTACAATATATAAACTATACTTCAAAAAACTTCATGAAAAATTTTGCTCCATGTGTAGTAACTGTGTTTCAGAAATGTATTATCTTCTTTTTCCTTATTTAAACTAAATTAAGTATAAAAATAGGTTGTTGTGAGAAGCTTGTTTTCCCTCATTTGAACTAAGGAATGAACAAGATCAGATTTATTCATGATGTTGAGGAGGAACAAAAGAAATGAGTAGTATCTTGGTGGAGTGGGTGTAATGATAGATTTACAAGTTTCAAGTAAAGGAGACAGGAAAAACAAATGAAAAAAGTCAGGAATGAAGGCTGATGAGGACAAGGGATTCAGTGCTCAGACCCCGAGAACCCTAAACTCTAGATGGTTGCCTAGCATCGTGCACCTCATACAAGATATGGTGAGCATACCTTTAGTATCACAGGATAAATTCAATAACAATAATTAGTATCCAAAGCCTTTGCCACCTGTTGTCCAGCCTCCCTCCAAGTTCTAGTGTTCTAAAGCCCAGTAGGGTGACTATAGTTTATGATAACCTTAAAACAGACTGAAAAATAAGCATGATGAAATGATACAAAATACAGAGGCATTTGATCATTATATAGTATGGTGATATACTATTTATGATTTATTAAATCTTGCCTGAGGATTCAGAAAGCAAAGTCAGCCAGAAGGTACAGAGGTCAGGAGGTGATGGCACACACCTTTGACCCCAGGACTCAGGAGACAAAAGCAGATGGATCTCTGTTAGTTCAAGGCCACCCAGGGATACATTAGAATGTATCAGTCTAAAAGAGAAGTGTAGCTCATGTCTTTAATCCCAGCATTAGGGAGATATATAAGACAGGAGCAAGGTCTCAGTATCAGGCATTCATTCTGCCATGCTAAGGAGAGGCAGCAGGATCGACCCATTCAGCCTGAGGTAGTGGTAAGAGCTAATGGCACACTACTTTGCTTTTCTGTTCTTCAGATTGAAGTTTGAAGCCCAATATCAGTCTCTGGGTCATTTAATTATTGTGTTACATTATAATTATAATTATAATGTTTACATTATTGAGTTATCACATCATTCTAAATAGTATATACAATTGCTGTGTTAATTAAAAAGGAGAGGTCTTTGCCATTGATCAGTTAAACAGTTCATAAACATCTATTACAAAAAAATTTCTTCTATGAGGAACTATCTTAACTTTTAGAATCACCTCACTCAAGAATGACATAGGCCTTGTAGATCCTCTAAAGTAATGCCATTAAGAAAAGATTATATATATTTGTATATATGTATATACAAAAACACATTATACACTTAGATGTACACAGAAAAATTTAAGTACTTTTTATTTTTTTATTTCTTCAAACCTGAATAATTTTCAATAAAGGATATAATAATAAGGGGAAATCTAAGAACAAGAAAAGTGCCAGTCATCATATTGACAGCCCTGTTTCCTCCTGTGTGACAAAGAGAACCATTTTCCCATGCTGTACCCGTCTGCTGAGTGAGGTATGATTGACAGATGAGCCCAGGAAGGTTATGACCTTGCTGGCTTTTGAGATCCACAGAGCAGAGTAGGAAGTGTGCACTGAGATAGGTGTAGTTTTTTTGAAAATGTTTAAAAGGTCTTTTCATTTTTTTGTATTAATCTAATTATTTTTAAGAAGTCTTAAATTAATGTGGTAGAACAAGCATTAGTCAGGGAAATAGTCTTCTCAACTTAACCATCACTGTAAGAGACCATGCATCCTCCAGAGAGGAGAGGGGAAAACTGGAAACCATGAATAAAATTCTTTTCAAGCAGCATGTTTTACTCTTTCTGATGGTAGGAGCACTAGGGAATCAAATACTCCATTTAGCATTGGATTGACCTAAGGGCACACCAAAACTTTCCAGAAGTTTCTGTTAAGCCCATTCTGGATCTTTGGTAATCCATACTAAAACACCTCATCAGAGATATTTTTTAAGTTTAGCATTGTCATTTACTAAACTACCACATGTAGAACATGTGAGAACACAGGCATTTAGTTAAAAAAAATAAATAAATTTAGCTTCCATTGTCACCTCCTCAATGAGAAGATTGTTTCAGGAGTTAGATACCAAATTAGCTGCACTTAGAAAACAGCCTGTTACTTCCTCACAGCCCCTAAGATCTGTAAACACTCAAAACCCTACCCAAGAGTACCGCGTAGCCAGGAACCCACAGCAAACAGCAAAGATTACAGTGGCTCCTTTTATTGGAGTAAATGTTTATTTGTGCCGAAAAGATGTGGTCAGCACAATCTGGGGCCAACAAATCATAATTTTCAAAAGGTGCTTGCTGCAAATTTTCTAACTCAGTTCAAACATAATTTTTGCCTGGACCTAAGTTGGGTTTTTTGTTTGTTTGTTTTTCCTTCTAGCTTGTCTCTCTCTCTCCCTCTCTCCCTCTCTCCCTCTTTCTCTCTCTCTATCTCCTTCCCCCCCCCACCTTCCTTCTTACAGAGAACTTGATGGAAAAATGTTTCTTCTGAAGTTCTTCACGTGTAAATATTTACTTCATTTTGGCATCTGATAAATACACTATTAACCTTTGTCCGTCAAAATTATCATTAAATTAAAGCTGAATATTAAGAAACAGAAAGTCTTTTTATCAAGGACTTTCTTC